AATATTTATTTTAGATTAAGTCTAAATATTGATCTAAAATTAATATTTTCTCAATAACATTATAAACTAAAAATAAATGTTTAAAAAATTTGTTTTGTATACAGAATATAAATTTTTAATGAAATGAATTTCGTAATGAGCCCCTAAATAACAATAAAATAACTAAAATTATATAATAAGATGAAAAAACATAAAAAATCAGGATATATTTCTTTAAGAATATAATTTTATATCAGTACGTTAAATTAAAACTGCAAGAACAAAATAAAATTAAAAAGAAAAATTAAGAGAAAATAAAATATTCCAGGAGCTTAACTTTAAATAAATATGTTAAGAATCTCAGATAATTCAATATGTATTATACATGTTAAAAATATCAGATTCTGTTAATTAAATGAGGAATAATGAGGCACAAATATCACATCATCTATAAAAGATGTTAGATAAGGAAAGTTATTTTCTTGATTGACAAATAAAAGGGGATAAAAAGTTTGAAAATATTGAAACAATCTCTTAAGAATTTACCTCGATATATCTATATTTATAAATTACTATTGAATGGCTACTTTAATATACGTAATATTTTTTCGTCAAAATAAAGCAATCACTATCGATTTATATAAATATCTCGTCATATAATATCTCTAGATTCTCTGTTCTTGAAAAATGCGAGCTACTCTTCATTGGGCAGTTTCAGCTTTTAAAGTATTGCAAATTTGCGGATGTGAGACGAAAGCGGCAGTAAAATCAAGAAGCTATCGACAAAACCTTCGTCGCGGCCACGTATATATTAACGTTACGATAATGATACGTATTAAATTCACGCCGTGTGCGTCATGAAACGGCGCCTGTCGCCGACGTCGCACGCTCCGTTTCGGCATGAAAGCAATTTGGGCAGTAACCCATTTGGTGCGTGCATGTACGTGACGTTTCTCGGCGGTTGTTCGTTTAAATCAATTGCGAGTACATCGACATGCATACATGACGCCGTCAGACAACAACGCGTTAATGGAAAAGTGTCCGCGCGTTTCATTATTGACTAGTAT